TCCGATAACCTTCCTGATCAAGTGAAAGTTACGTACGAAGATTAACCATGGGATATGTAACCTAAAGTTAGATGGGTTAGCATGTGATAAGTTAGATATACATGTGCACAGGGAGAGGCCAGTTTTTATTTATCCCTAATGGGTGAAGGAGTGGAGTAATATAAGGGAAATCACATGGTTTTCATCACTTTGACTGCCAATCAACTGCCAATGATGGAGGATTAAAAGAATAACACAAAGCCTTAAGGGGGGGGAGGGGCGGGGATCAGGTAAATTTTTGCCGCAACGTAACCAAAATCATTCAACCCACCCCACCCCTCCCCCCCCTCCGTCCTCCAGGCGAGAGATGTAATCAATAGGATTGTGCCATGAAAGGAAGAAGTACTAAATAAGACTTAATTTTAGGGGAAATGTAAGTTATAATTTGTTTTGGGATGCAGTTGAGTTAATTGTATTTTCTTAATGGAGTAGTTTTCACTTTAATATTAAAAGTAATCTGGGATTGCATTGGTATTGTTTTACTCTCCTCTGACTGGTCCAGAAAAATCGCGTCAGTCTTGCAACCAATCAGATCTGCAAAACGAAGACCCACCGCCCACAACTGGCCACTGGTGTCAACTTCCCACGCTTAAACAGTTTGCTCGTTTTACTTTGAGTTCTCATTGACTCTTCTCATTTACCCTCGCTTTTACACTGGTGGTCAGACATCAAACTATTCATCTCGATATCGCAAGAAACTGGCAGCTGGTATTATCAGCGTTTATTCTCTGTTTAAAAAAAGCTGAATCATAAAACGAAGTCACCAAACTTTGAGGTAATCAAACAAGTGAAAATCAAACTACGTTTATATCTTGTCTCCTTCATTATTCTTTAGAAAGTTTTGTGTTTATTTTCTTAGATACCGGTCTAAGCAAAATGAAATCATTTCATAGAGAGTAAACCGTTTACATCCTCATTCTCCATAATGTTCTCTGTACGTCATTTCTTAAGGTACTGACAAGGAAAATTTGTTTAACAATCACGAGCTTCTTCAGGTAATGATGGTTTCTTGTTTTTCTCGTAACCTTAATGTTTGATTCAGGGGCGATATTGTGATGAGAAATGAGATTCTAGTCACCCATAGGGGACGTATGCCTTAGCTATTCTAGTTGGCACATCTCAAAGAAACGCTAATTCTGGGCTCATTACTCAGTCAGTCAGTTCCGTAAGCGTTAACCACTATAACTGATATCTCAGGTTCGAAATCTCTCTTCCCTGACGACGATGGTGTTTGATTCAGCAGGAAAGTTTCATGCGCCGTTTTGATTGTCGATTAACCGCACCTTACACGGAGCGGAGCCGGGTCGCTCATCACTGATATAGAGATACTGCTAACGGGGGTTTTTAAGAATCCAAGCCACCACGGATATGGCGGAAAGGGGAGACAAACAGATCCGTGTTGTGAATGAACCATTTAGTAAAGATAAACGGCGCCTATTTGATATCATAAGAAGTGGTTGTTTTCAGAGGAACTTTCTATCAGTCCCTCTCACTAAAGCTCTGCCAATGCAAAATTTAACATTGTAGTTTGCACAACGAGCCTCAATGGACTGCATTGGTATCTGGTAGGAGCCAAGGAGGTGCCGAGTCTGCTAATGCCCCTGAGTTTGTCCTTCACACTTCCTTCCAGGAAAAAATTGGACTCTAACAGCAGAAGATAGCAGAAGGTTGACTTACTCTGTAGGTGAATTAACACAACTAGATCGTCGCTAGTGTTCAGCTTTTTACACCGAATCTTGCACAGATTCTTGGGTTCCCACTGTGTTACGAAGGAAAGCTTGCAGGGAAGACAGGCAGGCCTCGTCCGAAGGGTGGAACAATATTGGAACAATATTGGAACCTTACCAGTAATCATCCTCTGATTCATCATATTCACTGCTCTCATCCAACATAAATTCTTCCATGTCCCACAAGTCCCAGTCTGTTTCAGACAGCGAATTTAAGATCTTTTGCCTCAACAAGACGATTTGAAAATCTGTGACTATCTCCGTGGGTAGACTTTGCTTTCTTACCAAACAAGCTACCTCACTGGAACTCAAAAGTCCAAATTCTTCCCCCATGAACGAGCTCTTTATGAACACCCTTGACGCCAGTTGACACAGCCGACATGTACTCTGACCAAACAGCATTGGAATCAAGCTGATTCCAAATTTCTTCAGGTTTAGTAGTGCCACATCATTCGCATTCCCGCAAGATGCATATTCCAAAAGTTCTAGCAGGATTTCTTCCAGAGAAAAATAACCTTTATCCACAAGTGGAGCAAGTTTGCGGCAAACTGCAGCCATGTCCTTTCGTCCAATGGCAGACCATGGAATAATTGATGCCAGAAGAGGAGAAATATATCTGGGATTCAAAGTAATTAGATTGTAACCAAAGAGCTAATAATTTGTGGATGGTAGGCTAAAAAAACTGAGGAAAAGGTTTCCCTTTACAGATAATTGTGGTACCTACTCTGATACATTTCTTCCTTTCATCATTGACATTAGTAGTAAAAAAATGAGATTTTATCAAAGCTGAGCAAATATATCACAGCCACCATGTAGATTAGATTGAAAAATGTAGGCCAAAAATGTTCCCCTTAGTCAATAGTTGGGATTTAATGGCCTGTTAACAAGTTCCATTTGCATAGACAGAGGATATGTACAAAACACTCAAAAGGCATTGGAAGAAAGCATTGCCTCTAAATTGCTTTTGCTGTTTCTGTGCCACTTCTGCAGGAAATAATAGAGGGAGGCTAAGAATTAAGCTTAGTTAATAGGACTTATGGTTGTCAGTATGGACCAATTTATAAGCTACTAGTGGGTAGAATTTCCATGGAATTCCTAGGAAATTGAACTCCAATTTTAAGTAATTTTTATCAACCCTTTACTCACAAAAGTGACCAGGACAGAATTTCTCCTTACAGCATCAATACAATATCAAGCAGATAAGTGATGAGAATTGGGGGAATATTAGTTGATCCAAAGCCAAATCTACAAACTTGTATTGCAAACAGTAAGGTGAATTACTAAGGAGATCTTGGGAGTTTAAGGGTTAATAATCTATTTACAAGTAAGATGGCCTTTACATCTTACCTCCCATCAGGTCCCAGGCCTCGCAAACTAGGATCAGCTCCATGATCAAGAAGAATCTTTGCAACTTCAAAGTTACCAGACTGCATGGCATAAAATAGAGCTGTCCTACTGTGAATTCCACAGTGGTTAATCTAGATTAGAAAAAAAAAGAACATAACTTTGTATTTGTCTGTACTACCATTCTTATTTCCATGCTCCAAGGATTTTTTAAAATTTTTATTCCCTTTTCTATAGGACTACACAACCACTGAGGAGAGGGGTGGGGTAATTTATGGAGTGTTGTATGGTTGTGTCATTCAGGAACTGGTAAATTCTTAGACTGTGGTAGACCAAGGTCAAGTACATTTGCCAAACATTCCTGGGACTAGACATCAATTAAAAGGCAAACTTTCCCTACTTACTCTTTTATTTACAACTTGAACCAATCTTTAATTCATTGTTGAAAGTAGACCATGATGGGTTAGAAAACATATACAGCCCTTTCAAATTCAAATTGAAAAATTAGAAAAAATTCTAGTTCATCACTCTCATTTTCACATCCTTCAGGTACTATGATTGGTTTGATATTTATTCCTCTTCAGCTCTTTGTGTTATTTTTTAGTGCTGATTTGCTATTGTGATAATTCTTGGTTTTCATCATCTGACACTCAGCCATAAAAGGTCCTTACATTGATACAGTGGTGGTCAAACCTATTCACAGATATACCAGAAGAAAAGTAAACATTTCAGGAACATAACCATACCTTCACATCTTCAAATGATAACAAAAAGCGCACAGCTTCACTGATGTCATGATTAAAACAAGGTCCTTGCTCAATACCATCCCGCCATGGCAATGGACAACAAAGAGACATAAGGGGTGTGTTGCCATGACAATCACTAGCCATAAGATCAGCACCATTGTCGCATAAGGTCTGAGCCATACGCAAGTCTTGTGATCTTAACAGTGTTGAGTGCAATGGTGTCTTCATTTCTATGTCTCTAACATTAACTTCAGCTCCATGACCTAACAAAAGCCATGCCACATCTATCAATTCTTCAACCAGGTCTGCTGTTTGTTTTATGTATTTTCCATGAACAGAGAGAGCATCGTATGTGGAGGCAGCTTCTTTAGTGATTAGACTGTTGTTGCCTGTTACAAGATTGTAAAAGTTCACCACACATTCCAGTGGTGACCTTCCTGGTCCTATGTATTCAGCACCACAGGTCTAAAGAGGGAAAACCAGCACTGTTTAGTAAAAAAAAAAGTAAAAACAAAAGCATCTATACAGAAAGATAATACTATACACTTATCGACTGAGCAAGAGGGCAGAACAGGAAAATATATGGCTTGTGTAAATAACATATAAACCAAGTGCAGCAAGGTCTATGTGTCATGAATGAGGGGAAAATATTTTCTTTTCCAGTTCAACCAAACTCTGCTATTAAGCATTTTATAGTATGACTACTAAGAGTTGGAAATTTAAGAAGTTTAGTTCAACCTAAATAGGACATTCTTTCACACAAAAGAAGGGTGTGTGCCGAACAGCTACTAAACAGATTCTATAATAATAAAAACTTTTCCTTTTTCCTCTTGAGACAGAAAGCAAAAGAGCAGTTTGAATGCAAAGCTGTATTTCTCTTTCCAGACTGGCTAACATTAACCTGTCCAGCCCTGCTCACTTCTATTGTATTGTGTGCACAAGGCTGGCAAAGTCATGTGATAACACAATATTATATTTGGGGAAATTTTACAAAAGAATCTGCTCTGAGTTGTATTACCTCTGGAATTCTCAAATTGGGATCTGCACCTTAAAAAGAAAAAAAATCACTTGAGCAAAAGGAAGACAAAGGAATGTTGACCTTAAATTGGCTATATATCATAACAGTCCTTGCACTTTTTAAGTTGTTGGAAAATAGAGAGATAAATAAGGTGTTGTTGACATAGCAACAAATAAATATAAATTTTACAGTATATTCTTGAAATTAAGGGATGTCTTTACAAATCAATCACTTTAAGCTGAATAACACTGCAAACTTTAGCTTGTCCTGAGCTGTTAAAAGTAACTCAAACTCACGCCCATCGAAGTATAGGATCTGATAGAGGTTAAGAAAGCTAAAGTTAAGTTTTAATTTGGTCAGTTTCTATCAGTAAAAGGCCTTGTCATTCAAATATTATTAGAGCTAATATTAACACTTGAAAGATTTATGGCAAAGTTCTTCCACAAATGACAAACTCACCTTTCTCTATTAATCGCAGAGCGATATTCAAGTGAATAGGCATGGCTTCGCCGTCGACCGTAGAATTTTCACCCGAAAGAACGATAAAAAGTGGTATCCTTTGGTAGAATCCCTCATCTAAGCACATTCCATAATGGCTGTCAATAAATTCTATTGCTTCGTCAAAACGTCTTGACTCCAGAGCCTGAGTTAACGGTGTTTCTCGAATTCCAAAAACAACATTGAAAGGTACTGCCGCCGCCATCTTGATTTGATTTTTAAAAATAACCCATAATACTCTGATCATTTGTTTACATGTTGAAGTTCGAAAAAACTTTGGGAACAAATCACTGGAACAAATTCTTCGAAACGGCGTCAGACTTTGAGTATTTATGAAGCAAATAAGAAACTCATTTTCATGGATGAAAGTTCGCTGAAGGAAAAGCTCAGCTTTCACTGCATTGTGAAGTGTTTTCTTTTCGCCACAAACACCGTCTTGTGGGTAAGTGTCATTTGTAAAGTAGACCGCAGAGGAGCAACAGCTTAACTACTTTTCGGCTTCAACTTTAATCTACATTGCGGGAGGTTTTTCAGCAATGTCATAGACCTTGAAGGCGTATCTCACAATTCAGCTTGTAAGTAAACGGAAATTTTGTATTGATCTACTACAGATCTCTGGGAAATGATAAAGAAAAGTCCTTTCCTTGCCAAACTGTATCAGTTCAACTGAGTTCTTTACCTCTTATACCTCTAAGTATTATCTGCAAAATAACAAACCCATATATAATGTTCCTATTTAAACTTAAGCTGGACTGGGTTCTCTGCATTGTGACTGACACTGAGAGAGGTTTAACAGGTCCAACTATTATGACAACAACCAGTCTCTGTTTTATGTACTGGATTTTGAACTAGAACCCGCACCACTTTTTCTTACATTGAAATTTTAAGGTATGGCTTGAGGCCTGCTTAGTTACTGGGACTTTGGAGTCTTAGTGCCTCTGGGAGTTTCTTCAGAGAGGGGTGAGAAAGCAGGGAGAAAGATGTTATTCATTGGTTCAAACCATTTACTGCATAAAATTAATTCTTGTGTAGATTGTCAGCATTGTACTCATTGCCATTGGAGCCTGGGCTCATGACGAGAAGAGGGAGTACAGTGACCTTGACAGCCTGGCCTTTGACCCTTCAATTCTCATTATTGTTGTTGGCTGTCTGATGTTTGTAGTGACATTTTGTGGTTGTGTTGGAGCTCTCAGGGAAAATAAGATCTTGCTGCAAGTAGTGAGTGATGTTCCTCATAGTTCTGTGCAGTCAATAAAATTCTGAAAACATCTTGATGAGCTCTCCAAGCTTACTTTTCTCTGATTACTGTTAGTAATGAATTATTTATAACTCTTTAGAAAGTTTTGTAAACTTACTTGTGAAGGTTATTAAGCTGTGCATTTGTAAAACCCTTTGTAAGTTTGGAGACCCTTTCATTTCATCCCATCTCTGTGATATTTTTTTGACACTTTGCTGTTTTGTTCTCTTGGGTGACTAGTAAGGAGACAAACACTAGGCAAAAGTGTATAACTCCAAAGGTAATGGTAGCATAAAAGTAACTGCAACATTGGGTCAGAGGCCTTAATATCTATATTCTGTACACTATATTTGTTTTTTAGGACTGATTGGTAGTTTTTAATGATGATTCCTCTTCATTTTCTTCTAGTTCATGGGATCTTTGACTGTCATCTTCATTTTGGAACTTGTAATAGGCTTTGTTGCATTCTTCTTTGTTGACAAGGTATATGTAACATTAGAGATGCTCTGATAATTTTTTTGTAAGTATCCTTTTCTCTCTTTTTAATGTTGATTTATGCCAATGACTGGTACACAAGGTGTAGAATTTCTCAAGGGATGAGATTCTTGAAAGCTAAACTTGTCAGAGAGAAATATCAGGCTATGCAAGATCACATTTTGGAAGTGGGTTAAGGGTCGATTTCATATTCATGCATTGCAAAGGTAACTCCTGCACAGGAGACTGTTGACTCATATAGTTGATGGAGTGGAAACCGAAGGTTGGAAGTTAACCCCCTGTCACCTTTGCAGGTTTACCTCCTGCAGGCAAACAAGTTGGCCCAAAGAATCCTTCAACTCCTTCCAATGCAGCAAAATGTATTCTGTTGAAATCATAATATATTTATTATTAAACCTCACAACAAAACCATACCAAAGTTAGATCAACATGCAAATTAGCTGCCTATTTTTTGAAGTGGGACTACTGTGTGAGTAATTTAAATTGCTACATTACTCTAGTCTTTATTAAGCACTTTATTTTATGCAAGTGTTTGCAGCAAAGCAAACTTGCTTTACCACAGGGGACAAACTTGGTAAGATGAAAGGGGACACACTTGTCATAAGGCAAAACCTCCATAGACAGCTGGAGCTTGCTACAGGTTTTTCATTAGCTTGTAGCAATTAACAGTATCTTACAACTGCTTTTGGACAGGTTGCATCTCCCACGTCATGTCTGAGATTAGTTAATAAGCATCATTGATGTTGCAATTACAATCACAGCCCCAAACATACCACCCTTTGTACCCATTTCAGCCCAATGATTTATGATTTTCATCAAGGGTTATCCCTTTGTTCTCCAAATGCTAGCAGAAACGGTCTGTAGTTGCCAACTTACATAATCAACTCAGCTGATAAAACCAAATTATTATGTAATACCTACCATGGAAAAACACCATAGTTTCTTTAGAAACTTATGCTCTATAATCATCATCCACAGACCAGAAGTAAAGTAAAGAAGGCAACTTATGATGTGATCATGAGATACAGAGATGACCCAGACCTGCAAAATGCTATCGATGGAATACAGAAGGGTCTGAAGTGTTGCAGTGGATTTTCATATCATGACTGGGAGCTGAATGAGCATTTTAACTGTTCTGCTAATACTGTTCAGGCATGTGGAGTACCCTTCTCTTGTTGCCGCAAGGTGAATAGCAATGGTAAAAGCTAATACTTCTGTTACTGATACTTCTACATAGTGCTATATTCTCTCTTAGAGCAGCCATGATAAGGCAGAAGCAATGCAATCATTGTTTAGTAAATAATTAAGTCTCTGCATTGGATATCTCTCTAATTACAGGCCAGTACACATGATAAAAATACCATCCTTTCACTATCAGCAAAATGTTATGAAGACAGCGTGGCAGAGTGGTTAGGGTGCTGGACTTGTAATCTGGTGGTCCTGGGTTTGAGTCCTCCACCCTGCCATTCACTGGCTTTGTTCTTGGTTGCCCTAAGTTTACCTCCTCAGCTGCACATTGTAAATAGCCAACTGCTCTGCCTCCTACAAGTTGGGATTTTCAAGCATTTTATGTTTGTAATGTAACAATGACTCTGAAAAGCCCTGTGGGATAGAGTCAATTAAGTATGTATGTATGTATGTATGTATGTAACATACCCAGTGTGTTTCTTAACACTGTATAACTTGATTACAATTATAATACCAGTAGTGTTGATGTTTTTTATTGATGAACAGGATCAGATCAATACACACTGTGGATTTGCAGTAAGAAAAGAGAAACTTGTAAGTATTGGTAATCTGATAAATCTTGAGTTGTATGCAGCTCATTGTAGAGGTGCTGTATGTAGCCTTGTAGCAGAGCCCCCTAACTTTTAATTGCCCAAGCTTATCTTGTTATTTATTCTACATCTGTTTGCTTACCTAAGCACAAGGAGTGCACGGGGACATAGCCTTTGCTGGAAAATCAGGGAGCTTGGAAAAACACATCTACATCAATTTAGGAATTCAAAACATACCTACATGATTATAAGTACCTCAAATCTAATAAGTGCAAGTGGTAAACATTGCTAAAATGCTTTGGTTATTATCTTACTTGTGGCACATCTACACAACCTTTGAACTCAGGTATGATAGTTTGTAAAAAAATGCAAATCTCAATAATTGCAATCCATCATAAACAATAATTTCAAATGAATAAATATAAATCTTCTTTCAATGGCACAGGAAGGGCCCACATAGGGAATATAAGGAACAATGTGAAGCAATGCCAGACATACAAATTGATGGTAAAAATAGACAAAGAGAAGTCCCTCCTTTATGTCTGTCATGCGAGTCTGAGAAAATCAAGAAAAAAATTGATATTAGGGTACCAGGCAGAACTCTGGAAGTGAGGCACACGAAAAGTAGCATGAAAATCACTCAGCCATGCAAGGTCAAACTCTTTGGCTTTGTCTTTAGTCCCTGCTTTTGTTTTTAATTTCTTAGGAAACAGAAGCTTCTCAGGTGATATACATCAATGGATGTATTGATAGTCTGACAGACTGGATTAACAGCAATCTTCACATTGTGGGTGGTGTTGCATTTGGGTTTGCTGTTATACAGGTAATTGTGCTAGAGTGTTCTTTAGCTTTTATGAACTGAACATGGCCAGTTCATATCAGAAGTGACAATAAATGCAATCACCATCTGGCTAATAACATCATTCTTCCTGCTTGTTTCAGTTACTTGGAATTCTGGGAGCCTTTAACATGATCCGGGATATTGATGAAGTGTTGAAGTCACAGAACACCGAGACTGAGTTGAACTTTACGCTTTAAGAGGACCACAGGGATGCGCATGTGAAATAAAGGAGTAGAATTCCACAGTTTGGCTTGCTGAACCTGTCCACAAAGTCAGGCTAAAAGTCTGCCACTTTGTGTACACTTCTGCCACGAATGTCTATGAGCAGCTCTGTGAAACAATTTTCAACTCAATTCTTTGAGTATTTTTTTTTGCTGGCATCACACCCTTCAGAAAATCCCATCAAGAGACCAGTGTGTTAGTGTAGGAGTAATTATGGTAGGAGTGCCGTAGAGTTCAATAAATTAATGGACTCCCATCAGTTGATTAGATTCAAGTATTCTTGTACAGAGTCCAATGCTTGAATAGTAAAAACCTTTATTGCATCTTCTGATTGCAATTCAGCATTACAATGTCAACCCAAGAATTACATGAACCTACACTTTACTTTAACTTTGCTTTTTTTTAATACTTAAACCTAACTACATTTAAAGAAAGTTCTGAACAAATACAGAGATCAGCAGAGGAAAGGGAAATAAACACTTACACTACCAACTAATTCAGTTGTCAAAAATCATTCAATTTTCAAAATCTCTGTACAGAGGTAAGTTCCTTAATTTTTAATTGAGAAATCTGACTAGATCAAATAATTGCTGCCACTAGGTCCTATGAAATAAATTGTTAAACAAATAAATAAATTCCCTATATATTAAATAACCATTAATGCATAGCTACTGTATTATAACTTAATCAAATGTAATAGTTTTCATGTTGGGAACTTTGTCGAGTATTCCTTTATTCTCTGGAAGGAGGTTATTTCAGAAAAGCTTCAGCTTAATTAAAAATAATGACAAAACAGAAATACATAGACTGTAATAATTCTGAGGTTGCAAGCATAATGTGGAAGGACTCTCTCTCATGCTTATTTTACATGCTTGAAAATAGCTCTGAACCTTGAGAGAAAAAATTTTCTTTGCTAAGTGTAGAAGAGTCTTATTCCTTCAGGACTAAAGCAAATTTAGTGAAGTTGCTGAAATACCAACAAAATAATTTTTGTGGTGATTATTAATTAAAAAATTGTACGAGAGTTAAATTTTAACAACTTTAAAATTTCTCTCCAAATTCCTAACACTTCTATGCTAACAGGCTACCTAGCTACAGTTACAATTGGATTTCAGATTCATTGTTCCATTTACTAAACACACAATTTCTATTCACCAACCTCAGCATGTGATACTTACTGAGCCATAGCAAAGGATGCGCAAAACATTGACCTATTTTTGTAGTAACGTGTACAATTTACATAGTAAATTAACCACCATTACCAGTAACTCAGCAAATAGTAACAATGGTGGTGGTTTTCTTAGATTCCATTTCAATTCATTTCTGTCATGATTACCTCTCTTTACACTTTAGAATCAGCAAACATGACCAAATTACAAAAAAAGTGCAGCCTTACCTAACAAAACGAAACCAAAGTGTGACAGAATGCTCTCTACTAACTTGACTCTACCCAATTGATTCAACCCAAAATTGTTTCATGTAGTGTGACAGAATGACCCCAACCTTTAGGAATGACCCAAAATATTATATTACCTATTGTGACAGATTAACTTCAAATTAAGTGACCTTAGTAAAAACAGTGACCCCAAAAGTGACAGAATGATTCAAAATTGTGTGACATTCCCTGCCAGTGTGACCCCGAAATTGTGTGATCCAGAGTGACAGAATGATGCTCATGGGCGTTACTCTACCAAACAGAATGAGGGAAAAAATTTAAGATTTGGCGTGACAAAATGACCTCTAATAACGTCTAGTACCCAAACTTTAGCACTAGAGAAGCCATTAGACAAGATATTCAACTTAAATAGACAAAAAAAGGACAATTAAAAAGATAGTCTAAACTCTTACTTTCTATCTGACTTTCTTGCAAAAAGGCTTAAATCAGTTCATCATAAGAACAGACCTTGAAACACACAACACTCTATTACATGCAGATAACGCTACAAAATCATGCTACGTCTTCACACAAAACGAAAGATATGGCCGTATCTTTGGGACGGGTTTTTACAGAGCCAGATGTGCAACAAGGTTATTATGTCACTAACAAACAAATGAATCAGTTTTTAGGGAATACCGCGTGCAGGGTTTACCAAAGGATGGCTTACTTATGTTTTCTAAACTAAAGGTTCCGTTTATTGCCTGCAATAATACGAAAGTCAAATAACGCCATATCACATCCCTTCCCTCTCCCTCTTTGGTCAACCTTACCATTACCATTAAGCCCCCTTTTCCCGATCTACTCCTCCCTGTCTAATTCAGTTCTGTTGTTGAAATATTTTGGCTTGGTACTCCCGTGGAGCTCCACCGTGTCTCTGCCACTCGATCTCAAAATCTCTAACGGTAATCTCAGCCCCTTGGCGCAGCGCCAATCGTGTCTCGTCCAAACACAGCTCACACATGTCCAGATCATCTTCCCCTGCGACCAGCAACAAGGCAGGTTTGCCGGGATGAATCTCCATTTGGCGCGCTATCCATTGTCCATCAAAGTGTGCAAACCTAACGGGAAGACGGACACAACACCTGCCTTTAAGCAAAACATTTTCATCGACATCAAACAGCATTACACGAGCAGTCCCTTCTTTATGGCAAAGTCCGACACGCGAGTAAAAAAATCGTTTAAAGATAAAATTTGTGTCAGCGCGCTGCGCCAATTCTTTTTTCGTTTCTCTCATTTTTGACTCGCGCGACATATTCCGTCAAAAATAAGGGACTCGTCGTGATCAAACACCATGGCTAAATCTTGCTTTACGCTGACATCAACAGCAAGGTTCAGACATGGTTTTTGACTACGAGGTGTCCCTTCGTCTCGAAAAATTTACTCAAATAATATAAAACCCTACTTCAGAAACCAGAAATAGTAACCATTAAAGCAACAGTGGCAGTCTCTGGTCATGTCCCTGATCCACGGTTTTTTTTAAAAAAAAATTTACAACTTGTTCTCACATAAATCGCTAAATAAACCTTTGGACGAAGAACCAAAACAGCAATAGACTGCCGAAAAAAGACTTGATACCATTGCACTTACCAAGATCCCTGTTTCTTGAACTCACTATCTCTATACTGATTGGACCGACGTATAAACGGTACACAGAAATATCTTTGCGGCCTTCGTGGGGGGAGGGCTGGAGAAGCAGTAGCCTGTTCTGGACGACTAGGTCGAGGAGGGAGGGGTGGGGCATTCTCCGCTGGAAAAAAATTATTCGTTAGTTGGCAATGAAAACCAAAGATCTTTGCCTCTCCGATTCGCAGATCGTTAGAGGCTCCATAATTAAAGCTTCCAGTATTTCGTACGCGGACATAGAATAGATTGAACCGAGTACCGCACGCTGAGAGAAAAATGGTCATGAAAGGAGTCTGTCAAAATAAACGTCAAGAATTCGCACTGCTCGTTGTTTTGACCTTTCTGAGTTCGTTCGACCAATCAAATCAGTCTATCGCAAATTCCTCTGGGATTCAATCCTCAACCTACCTGCTACCATAATATCCTGTGGGGCCCTTTGAGGGGCACCTTCTTGGTCTGTGCCTCGGGCCTTGTTGGTTTTCTTCCACTGATGATAAACCTTAAGCCGCCGCTGAAATTCCATCCTGCAGGCTTCCAGAAGCTCGATGTCTGCAATCACCAGAACGGACAAAAATTAATAGGTTTGGGAGACTTCCTTGGTAGTGAATCTTTTTTTGGTAATAGTTACCCAGCTTTGTTTTTGAAAAAAATAAATGCAAAATGAACTGTTCGATTAATAAAAAAAATGCATGAAGCGAGTTCTAAAATGCGCCGATTCTGTTTTGTTTATCTAAGATGTGATAAGTATCTTGATCTTGATAACTCTTCGATGAGGACCGTTCTCCAGTCCTAGAGCCGACTGCTATCTTGGTAGCCTGTAAATGGACTGTGCTTCCTGTTCAACCAAACAAGAACACATCATAATGTTACTCACCGCAGGACGTGTTAATGGTATCCCGCAGTTCGGCATATTTCCAAGATGATAAGTCGTGCTTCTTTTTCTCTCGCGGTGGCAGAGCTCTGAAAGAAGAAAAAAAGACTTGAAAAAATAAAAAAGGACTAGACGCTGGCCAGGATCACAGCCCAAGGAGAGGTAACATCAGGTGGAGAGTGTTTCCAGGATATTGGAAAAGTCGCTGTTAAAAAAGTGTCTTCAGCTCACCTCTGTAATGGTAGCTGGGGAGCCTGTTGCACTTCTGCGTCCAAAGCGTCAGGGTCCTGTGTAAGCCGTAAAGCTAGTTCCCGGTCTCTGCGTTCCTGTTCAATCATCGCCCACCTAAAGTAAACACAAGTCAATAGAGAACAAATTAAAAGAACCCGAGACTTGCTAGAAGGACGCTTCGTTTAACTGATTTCCAATAACTGAGAAACAGCTTTTTCTATTTCCTTCGTGAAAAATGCAGCCAGTTTTTAGCATCATACAATGCTACGGCAATTTTTTAAATTTCTGTCAAAAATCGAACCAGTAACTTACCTCCGTTGTTCCTCCTCCCTCGCTTTCTGTTCTTCTGCAGCTTTTACAGCCTAAATATAAATATGACGAAAAATGTAGATGAACACTACCCTTCAGCACTCACTGACATGCTGGTCGTGGGTGACACACCAAGAGATAGGGTAATTAGTAATTTGAAGGAAGTGAGAGTTAAATGCACATGAGTCAAACGGCCCGTGTGTCTGTGTACTCATCCTCCTCTACGTCTGCCTTGTGTTTGTCCTTCATCAGGTTCGTTTCCCTGCCTGTTTATTCGTCTGTCTTTCTGTGCGCATGTCTGAATTTCCTCGCCTCAGCTAGTTTGACCGTCTAACTTAACATGTTTACCGCTGACCGACTGACTGTGACTGAGTGCCTTTTGGCCTCTTCCAGGCGTTCAGTTAGTAAAGCGAAGCGCGATAATAGCGGAGGAGTGAAAAAACGAGAGAGAGAGTTGAGTCGGGTCGCGCAATGAACCCGACCCAAACCTCCCTGGTTTTTTCACTCATCCACAGTTTACTATTTTGTTCACCTGTAATTGTCTGTCAGCCTCTTCTTTCTCTCTTTTTATTCTTTCTTCTTCGTCCTTCTTGCGTTGCTCTTCCTCTTCCAGTTTCCGTCTCACCTCCATTTCCATTCGCCTGTTCGAAAATGTTTTTAAAAAGTTATATTTGGACCTTATTTAACAAATGTGAACTGCAGCCCTGTTCAACTTACATTTTGCTCTCCTCTTCTTCCTGTTTTCTCTTCCTTTCTTCCTCTTCCCTTCTCTTTCTTTCCAGTTCCATCTGCTCTTGTATTTTTCTGAGTCGTTCTTGTTCCTCTTCGACCTTTTGCTGTTCTACTCGTTGTTCAACGTCCTTCAGTTGTTTGTTTAAATTACTGACAAGTCCAAAGTACAGTGTATCGATAGCATCCCGCTTCATTAAATTACCCTGCAGAAAACAAATTTACTCCAGTTTTAAACATAATCAAAGCAAGAAAAAAGTTTACGAGCTTATGCCATTTCCGAGGTTGAGCAAAG